TATAATAAATCTATTCACTCAGTAATCAACAGAAAACCAATCGATGTCCTTTACTCAAGTTCAACCAATACTGTGGAATCAATCCGAGACCGTATTGAAAAAACACAGGACAGGCTGACCGCGATTATCATAATAGGAACCGTCAAGATATGTCGTATAACGCTGGCGACAGGGTCCTAGTGAAGGTAAATCGAAGGCTAGGAAATAAGCTCTCAGCACTATATGTAGAGGAAGTAGTTGAACAGGACCTAGGCACCACCGTTCTTATAAAGGGGAGGAGGGTCCATAAGGACAACATTCGACCCCCTTGACAGACCCAGTCACTAATTGCTAGCTTTCTTTAATTACAGGATAATAATATTGGCATTCCTGACGACAAACACTTTGACTGAAAAACTCACAGACTATACTGGCGCCAACTACATCCCAATTGTAGACGGGGAGGCGATAGTATGGGAACATTACGGATACTTGACACACTTCACTAACATGACGCTATACGAAACAATGAACGATGAGACTAAGGATCTAATTAATTTATTCCCTGAGTCGCATATGGGAGTGCTTCTCGACGCAGATATTAAACACATCGAAACACTGCTGCAAACCGTCGATATTCACCACCGGCAAGCACGAAGCTTGAATTTTTTGGGTACGGCACTCAAGGTCATTGCCGGCACCCCCGACTTCGACGACTATCAGAGACTTCAGATGAAACAGGACATACTTGTCGACTCGAACAACAAACAGTACAGGATAAATACCACATTCAGCAAAAGATTTTAGAGATAACAGATAAAATAAACAATATTATTACTTCCACTAAAAAAGAGGAAATAGATACAGGCCACCTATATGAAACAATATTACAAGAAATACACGACGTTAGGGAAAACTTTAGTATACCGTCCCAGGCTTTCGGGAATAAAATAGGTACGAGCGGATAGAGGAGATCCTCGAGATCAAGAATATTCAATTAAAGCTATTTTGCAGCATCTAATATAAAAAAAAGTCTAAAAACGAATTAATCAAGTGTTAGTGGATATAAAAGTGAAAATATAAGTGTATAATTATTTTTAATCGCAAAAATACGTACTTTAAATAATTGAAATTTTCAACTTTAAACGCAAATATCTCAAAACTATAAGTTTCCCGACGCTATATCTCCATATTCTTGATTTGGAGGATCTCCTCTATCCGCCCATACCTATTTTATCCCCGAAAGAATGGGACGGTATACTAAAGCCGACCCGTTAGTTTTTGGGTTAATGTATAGTTTAGGTCCCCCAACTAAGAAGGTCTCTAAAATTAATTTTTAAATCGTCTTATTTTGACGCGAATATTACAGGGAAAACTTTAGTTTAGCATCCCACGATTTCAGGGTTAAGAGGGGTATGATTGGATAGAGGAGATTCTCCAGATCTCGAATATATATAATTATTGCCGCCGGAAACTTATAGTTTTCGAGATATTTGCATTTTAAGTTGAAATATTCACAAATTCATTTTACAATTTCTCGATTTATGGTTATCTTTTCTTTTATATTATGCACTTATTACACAGTAACACTTCACTACAATGTTTCTACATATTTATTTTATATTAAATATTTAAGTATTTGCTTTAAATAAGCATTTAATTTTTACACAATTTTCGTAATATGAAACATGGAACCCATGTTGTCAGATAATAAGTGTTGCCATATCCAAATGGATGAAAGCAATGAAAATAAATAAAAAACCCAATCAACCTCTACAAAATATTATGAACTTAATTTTCCATTTTAATAAAAGAAAAAGGTTTTATGGCTTAACGTATGTATCATCTGATAATTTCCCAAATGGATCATGATCCTGATTTACTATATTTTTACGCCATATGTATTCATATATCAAATTTTCAAAATCTTCACTGTTATTATAATTATCCTTAATAAAAATGAAGTTTATAGAGAGTGATATATTCTCTTTAACATTGCTTTTTGTAAAGATTTTTTATTTGCACTGGCGGCCTTCGTCCGCGCTTCAAAAAATAACCTTGGTCGGTCCAACACCGGGGTGTTCATAATTCAATCGCGTCAAACTTCTTTCTGCACTGGCGGCCTTCGGCGCGCTTCAAAAATAACCCTGGTCGGTCCAACACCGGGTGTTGATAATTCAATCGCGTCAAACTCCTTTCTGCACTGGCGGCCTTCGCCGCGCTTCAAAAAATAACCCTGGTCGGTCCAACACCGGGGTGTTCATAATTCAATCGCGTCAAACTTCTTTCTGCACTGGCGGCTTCGGCCGCGATTCAAAAAATAAAACTGGTCGGTCCAACACCAGGGTGTTGATAATTCAATCGCGTCAAACTCCTTTCTGCACTGGCGACCTTCGGCCGCGCTTCAAAAATAACCCTGGTCGGTCCAACACCGGGGTGTTCATAATTCAATCGCGTCAAACTTCTTTCTGCACTGGCGGCCTTCGGCCGCGATTCAAAAATAAAACTGGTCGGTCCAACACCGGGTGTTCATAATTTAATCGCGTCAAACTTTTTACCGCACTGGCGGCTTCGGCCGCGCTTTAAAAAATAACCCTGGCCAATCCAATAACATAATTTATCAATAGAAGGGAATGAACAAAATAATAGTTCATGTATTGGGGTATAATCCTCTTTATTGTTCATTTTAATTCGCTTTCAAATATATATTTATATATTATATATATATATATAATAGATATGGCAACACTTATTATCTGACAACATGGAACCCATTTGTATTGTTCATATTACGAAAATTGTGTAAAATTAAATGCTTATTTAAAGCAAATACTTAGATATTTAATATAAAATAAATATGTAGAAACACTGAAGTGAAAAGTTAGTGTATAATAAGTGCATAATATAAAAGAAAATATAACCATAAATCGATAAATTTAAATGAATGTTGTGAAATTCAACTTAAAATGCAAATATCTCGAAAACTATAAGTTTCCGGCGGCAATGATTATATATATTCGTGATCTGAAGAATCTCCTCTATCCAACCATACCCTCTTAACCCTGAAATCGTGGATGCTAAACTAAAGCCCACCCATATTACAAATCCGTGAGCGGAAAGTGCATTTTTCAATAATTTATTTATACATTTACATATATTTTTAACGCACTTTGCACATATTTTCAAGTCATGAATTTTGGAATCTCCTCTATCCAACCATACCCCTTTTGGGATGGTGTACTAAAGCCGTCCTAAACGAATAGTGAAATGTTAGTGGATAAAAACCTTAAAATGTAAGTGTAAAGTTCATTATAATTCAAAGAAACACGCAATGTAAATATTTGAATTTTGGAACTTTAAAGCAAATATCTTAATAACCATAAGTTGGCGTAACAAAATGTATATATTTTCTTAATCCGGAGAACATCCTCTATCCGCCCACCCATTGTAACTTCGAATGCGGGTACTAAAAGTTTCCCAATATAGCATTATAAATTGCAATGTTTTTAACCTTAGTACAACGGTCAATTATAGACTACAACAAAGTGATAAATCCGTAATTATGTATTAGTATATGTTGATACCACGTCAATCGCGTCAAACTCCTTTCTGCACTGGCGGCCTTCGGCCGCGCTTCAAAAAATAACCCTGGTCCAATCGCGTCAAACTTCTTTCTGCACTGGCGGCCTTCGGCCGCGATTCAAAAAAATAAAACTGGTCGGTCCAACACCAGGGTGTTGATAATTCAATCGCGTCAAACTCCTTTCTGCACTGGCGGCCTTCGGCCGCGCTTCAAAAAAATAACCCTGGTCGGTCCAACACCGGGGTGTTCATAATTCAATCGCGTCAAACTTCTTTCTGCACGGGGCCTTCGGCCGCGATTCAAAAATAAAACTGGTCGTCCAACACCGGGTGTTCATAATTTAATCGCGTCAAACTTTTTACCGCACTGGCGGCCTCGGCCGCGCTTTAAAAATAACCCTGGCCAATCCAATAACATAATTTATCAATAGAAGGGAATGAACAAAATAATAGTTCATGTATTTGGGGTATAATCCTCTTTTATTGTTCATTTTAATTCGCTTTCAAAATATATATATTATATATATATATATATATATAATAGATATGGCAACACTTATTATCTGACAACATGGAACCCATTTGTTATTGTTCATTTACGAAAATTGTGTAAAATTAAATGCTTATTTAAAGCAAATACTTAGATATTTAATATAAAATAATATGTAGAAACACTGAAGTGAAAAGTTAGTGTATAATAAGTGCATAATATAAAAGAAAATATAACCATAAATCGATAAATTGTAAATGAATTTTGTGAAATTTTCAACTTAAAATGCAAATATCTCGAAAACTATAAGTTTCGGCGGCAATGATTATATATATTCGTGATCTGAAGAATCTCCTCTATCCAACCATACCCCTCTTAACCCTGAAATCGTGGATGCTAAACTAAAGCCCACCCATATTACAAATCCGTGAGCGGAAAGTGCATTTTTCAATAATTTATTTATACATTTACATATATTTTTAACGCACTTTGCACATATTTTCAAGTCATGAATTTTTGGAATCTCCTCTATCCAACCATACCCCTTTGGGATGGTGTACTAAAGCCGTCCTAAAACGAATTAGTGAAATGTTAGTGGATAAAAACCTTAAATGTAAGTGTAAAGTTCATTAAATTCAAAGAAACACGCAATGTAAATATTTGAATTTTGGAACTTTAAAGCAAATATCTTAATAACCATAAGTTGGCGGTAACAAAATGTATATATTTTCTTAATCCGGAGAACATCCTCTATCCGCCCACCCATTGTAACTTCGAATGCGGGGTACTAAAAGTTTCCCCAATATAGCATTATAAATTGCAATGTTTTTAACCTTAGTACAACGGTCAATTATAGACTACAACAAAGTGATAAATCCGTAATTATGTATTAGTATATGTTGATACCACTGTTTACCCCAAAAAACTCTTTAAAATTTTAGTCACTTACCTATGGTGGAAATAAATGTGGTATTAAATGCGTCCTCTGAAAAACGAAACAAAATACACGTTTTCCCTACGCCAGAGTCACCAATTAATAATAACTTGAAGAGGTAATCGTACGTCTTTGCCATATTTTTATTGTGACAAACTTTTATATTTCGTTTGGTATATGTTAAGTTTCAAGACTTTTTGTTCGAAAGTACTGATATTTTTAAACTATTCATTAGAAAACGTATATAAAATCGAAAGTTTATCGGTATTGCTACCTAATAGCATTATACACGCGTACCGAAGCTTAAATAACTTAAGAATTAGTTAAATATTTCATACGATTACAGCATAATAAAAAATACTGAACACCAACTACTAATAAATCGCATTAACACAGAGATGCTAGAAATTAATCGATAATCCAGAAATAAGTTCTCCGAAAAATAGTGTGACGAACACGGATGATAGAACAAAATCGAATCGACGTTAAATTTCCATAAGCAACTAGACAAAGAATTCGTAGTTGCCAGATTTTTCTAGAGGCTAAGTTATGTTAAAGTTCTACTATATAGGGGCTGCCAGACTGTGCAGCAAACACAGTTCTAGTTAGAGTGTGTCGTGTTAGGAGCAATTGAGACATAAGCAAGAAGTGGTAAGCTCAAAAAACAAGCAATAAGTGTAAAGTATTGGGATTAGAAATAAAGATAATACTATGTTCGCACCGACACAAATTTCGTGTTTTCATAGACAAAAGAGGTTTTCACGCGAAAACTTGTGTTTTCATCCATACAAAATCTGTCAAACGAAAACACAGTTTTCGCTGAAAACCCCTTGAAAAC